CTTCTTTTGTAAAAGTAAAACAAAAAGCAATAAAAAATTGGGTGGAGACCTGCATGGCAGCTATATTTCAGTTAAACTTCAAACAGAATAGACAAACATCACAAACACCACAGATGTCTTTTTCTGCTTTGGATCATCTTTTGAGTTTATTATGAGTTTCTACTGAGCTACAGCAGACAGGAAATTATATTACAGGAGTTTCTTCTTCCTTTATTAATGAATTGTTTTTCTAGATGTGATGATATTGGTAAAAAAAAAAAGTACTGAGCAACACAGATGATTTCAACATTAGAATTACACATAGACTTCAATTAAACATTAGTCAGTGTTCTGTCTATCTAGAGTAATCCATCTACTTTACCACTTTTCAGTTATTAATTTGTAAAGAGTATATGGGCAGGAAATGCTGATTACAAGGATACAAACTCTAGGTGCTCTCCTCTGGTTTGAAACAACTGCACAACAATATCGACAGTTAACATTAATTTCTCAATCAGGGCATAGAACAAAAGAGATACCGTATCAACCCAACCCCCTTATTTGTTTGAAATTGTTTTATTCAAAGTCGGAGCATCAACAAGTTTCCAGGGCTCAGCAGACCAGCTGCCATTAGGCTGTGTATATGTTTTACATATATTTTGTAAACTATCAATGTCAAATGAATATAGGTATTTGATTTAAGCCCATCAAATATTATCATTTTTAACTGATGCAGTGATGCAGTGTGATGAAGCCAGTGATGTGGTGTCACATATTTACCTTTAAATGTTTATACCAACTCAACCAGTCCCGACTGGTTTATTTTCTCAGAAACGAAACAATCCGTTCTTTGCTTCGGGATCTGCGTGTAAGTGTTCACTAATTTCTCCCACTGGCTTGCTGTGGTAACATATCTCATATGTTATAGCTGTTTCCTGTGTGGACTTGTCTCGATCAGTCATAATGAGCTGCAACAACAGACATAAATACTTTAATTGAAAAAACAAACGGTAGAATAACTTTTACATGAGGTAAATAACTGGAAAGTGAAACCACAAAGGTTCTATATATATCTTAACTGCTTTTATCAAAGAACAACAGGAATCAGAAAATGGGTGGACCAGTTACCTTCCCGACAGGTATATTTCCATTAAACGTTCAACAGAACAGAGCAACATCATAAATATCCTCAAACTTTTATGAAGTCATAAGACATACTACGATTGTGACTTTGGCAGATGACACTGTGGTGATGGGCCTCATCAGAGACGACAATGACCAGGACTATAGAGAGGAGGTGGAGCAGCTGGTGGGCTGATGTAGAGACAACAGCCTGATCCTGNTATATATCTTAACTGCTTTTATCAAAGAACAACAGGAATCAGAAAATGGGTGGACCAGTTACCTTCCCGGCAGGTATATTTCCATTAAACGTTCAACAGAACAGAGCAACATCATAAATATCCTCAAACTTTTATGAAGTCATAAGACATACTACGATTGTGACTTTGGCAGATGACACTGCTGTGATGGGCCTCATCACAGATGACAATGACCAGGATTATAGAGAGGAGGTGGAGCAGCTGGTGGGCTGATGTAGAGACAACAGCCTGATCCTGAACGTGGAGAAGACGAAGGAGATCATTGCCAACTTCAGAAAGAACTGGCCCCGCCATATTCCACTGCTCATCGAAAGCTCAGCTGTAGAGGTGGTCAGCAGTACCAAGTCCTGGGGTGCACATCACATTCAACCTCACCTGGACTGTTTACACCACCTCACTGTTCAAGAGGGCACAGACGCACTTGTACTTCCTGTGGAGGATGAGGAAAGCCCACCTGCCCCCACCCATCCTTATACAGAAGCACCATAGAGAGCATTCTAAGCAGCTG